CCCGAGCACAGCCGCGTCCAGCGCGACACCGCCACCGACAAGCTCCAGCACCGCGCCGTCCACCACCACCGTCCGCCCACCAGTCATCACGGTCACGAAGGCCACGCCGGATACAACCAGCACGGACCGCACGAGCCGCAGGCCCGACAGCACCAGCACCGGTGCGTACGGCGAGGACTGCGAGCTGGGAAGATACACAAGCGGCGTAGACCTCGCGGCAACCAGCAGGGAGTCCGTCACCGTCAGCACAGATTCCGCGGGGAACGTGCCGGTCAGCACAAGCGCACCGTTCAGCGCCTCCACATCGCACACCGACAGCTCCACCGGCCCGCCCTCGTCGCTCCCCGCCGACACCGCACCGCGCAAGCCTCCACCGCCCATCACGTACAGCACGGCGCCGTTCAGCAGCGACACGTTCTGTACAACGATCCGCACGCTGTCCCGCGCCATCCACGGCACGTAGAGCACAGGACTCACGCCGTCCAGCACAACGTGGCGCAGCGTCACCTCGCTCGCGCCGGCAGGCACAACGAACACCGACTGCAACGTCACGCCCTCGCGGACAAACACACTCGACGCGGTGCCCACAGCAGGTGGCAGCGCGGGAGCACCCACAGGCACGCACGCCTCGCCGTATCCACTGCTGCCGCACACGCACACGCACACACCGTTCTTCATGCTCGCAGACGCCGTCCCGGGCGCGTAGCAGTACGTGTCCCTGTCGCAGTCCTCGCACCCAACAATGTCGATGCTCCCAGCGTCGCCAAAACCAGCCGCTGCGTACTCCTCCGCAGTCGACAGGACGCGTCCACCAGCGTCGTTGCACGCCACCCTCAAATGCGCCCCAGCCGCGAGCGACAGGCCCGCAGACAGCATCCGCGGCAGCAGCGCTCGGTTGCGCACAAAGCTCAGCGTGCTCCCAACAGCGGTCACGGCGCCAGCGGCGTAGAGCATCTCCCTCAAGACGCCGTCGTGCACGTTGCCCCTCGCCAGCAGCATCGACCCGTCGGCCAGACTCACCGTCGAATAAAACGCCACCGCGTAGTCCCCCGTCGACGAAAAGCCGCTCCGCACAAGCGCCACAATGGAGCCCGACACGCTCACAGCCCCACGCACAGACACCGCATGCTTGCACAGCAGGAAGTCGCTGTCAACAAACGCCACCACGGAGCCGTCACTGGCCATAACACCGCCCTCCACTGACACGCACAGCCCCAGCGCCGTCTGCACCAACAGCCCGTCCACGTACAGCGCACCGCGCGACGACAGCGCCACGCCGCCAAACACCAGCACGCCAACAGCGTCGCGGAACACAGCAGCCACATGCGTGCGCGCGATGGTCAGCACACTCCCCGTCAGATTCACGTTGTGCAACACGAGGCACGCGGAGGCGTCGCCAAGGTCGTAGGCGCCGCGGTACACAACACGCGCCTCTGCAATCAGCACCGAGTCCACCACAATGACGCGCGAGCCCGGCGGAAATCGGTTCGCCACCACCACGCCGCCGCCAGAGCGTGACTCAAGCCCGCTGATCAACACATCGGCGCGCTGGCCAGCAGGCGGGTCGGACAGCCACCCGACAACGTACAGGCTCGCTCCGCCCACAAACGTGCAGTTCGCCAGCGTCACGTTGCGCACGCTCCCTGACATCGACTCCATTTCCACCACGAAATCCGCCGCAAAGGTCACACCAACGTAGCACAGCACCGACGTCCCAAAACCGGCGTTCACCTCCACATCCACATGCACGTCCCGCACGCACAAGTCGGCACCGTCAGTGCTTGAGGGCTCGGGAACAGCAACGGGCAGGCACGCATCGCCGTGGCCACCCTCCGCACACGTGCAGGCGCAGCCATCACTCGAGGCCGTCGTCGTGTACGCAGGGAAGCACGACGCTGCAAGGGTGCATGGGTCGCTGCAGCTCAGGATGGTGGCATTGTACACGGACGGAATGCTGTATCCCGCCGCCTCCTCGCCGTTCACAGTGTTGCACGCAGCCACAATCGCTCCGTTTGTGAGATCGCGGGACTTTTTGAGTATCAGCAGCGCTTTGGTCACTCCATTGTTGGAAATGAATTGGTTGCCGGACACAGACACCGTGGAGTCGCGGAGATCCACCGTAGGGGATATGCAGGCAAAGGCTTCCGATGGGGATTCACGGCAGAGGTTGCCGCTCAACTGCAGCCAGGAGTTGTAGTAGATGTTGGCGGCAAAAGTTGAATAAAACACAGCCAAGCTTCCCCGCATTTCGTTGTCCTGAAACACAACCGCTGACTGGGACTCCACACGTAAGGCCGACAAAATGTGCATGAAGTACTGCACCGGCCTCGTCACAAGGTTGCCTCGGATCACCACGGCAGAGTTGTTCAGTACAATCAGTGAAAATGACTGGCTAGACCCCTCAAGATGTATCAAATTACTGTTAGCGCCTTCCATATGAAACGTGTTGCCTACCACCGCAAAAAGGGAGCGCCACGACACCCTCAGCGCAGATTCAACAAAGTAAATGACGTTTGAAGATGCCGTCACGGTCTGAAACACATTGCCACTGAGCACCACCGCAGAGTCGTTGCTGATCGCCAGCCCATTCATCGCGACACACGACGGGCTGCCAAGGTCCAAACCCGGCCGAGGGAGGAGCCTTGTGGCCGTGAAGCGGTTCCCGCTGATCGTGATGTTCGTGTGCGGTGGAAACCCACCCTCCGGGCTGAGCAGCGCGTCACGGAACGTGTTGCCGGTGACGACAATGTTCAGCGACCCCACAGCGGCGTACGCGTTGCCCAACAGCAACAGCACGGCGCCGTCCCTCCACGTGCATCCATCGAACGTGACGTTCACCACGTCGCCCGTCATCGCCCCAATCAGCACCGTCAGGCTCATGCCGCCCCCGCTGAACGTCACGTTGCGGTAGCACAGCCACGACAGCCCGCCGCCCACAGTCTGCGCCACCTCGGGGTACAAAATGTCGCTGATGCACTCACCAACCGGCGGTGGCGGCGGTGGCGGTGGCGGTGGCGGTGGTGGCGGCGGGCCAGCAGGCACAGGCGCCGGGACGCACACATCGCCGTGCCCTCCAGCAGCGCACTGGCAATTGCAGTCGCTGACAGCCGTCGTCAGAGGAGCAAAGCAGTTGCCGTCCTTAGTGCACTTCCCGCACACTGCAACCGTCGTCACGTTGGTAATGCCTTGGAGCGCCAGCTCTGCCGCCGTCGTCACCTCCCGTCCCGCGACCGTCAGGCACCCAGCAACGAACCGGTAGCCGGCCCCAACCCGCTTCAGCAAAGGCACCGACAAACCCGTCGAGCCCATCTTGCAGCCCGTCAGCGTCACCACACTGCTGCTGTCAATGCTCACAAAAGTGGATTCAGTGTCGTCGAAAAACGCACCCACTCCCACGTCGTTGTCGCGCCAATCCAACCAGCTTGACCGCTGGACGGTCCACAATTCGTCTGCAACAATGGCGTTGGACACGGAGCCGCTGTTCCCCACCACGCGCAACACGCTGTGATCCAACACGCTGAATCGGGAGTGCTGATACAATAGGCTTGTCCCGGAGGACATTGTATTGTTGAGAAGCGCAAAAACAGAGTGGTCACTGACACTGAGGGTATTTACGTGGAACAGGTATGTGTAGCCATCGAAGCTGCAGTACCGCGTGTACAGCGAGCTGCCACCCACCAGCGTCAGCGTCCCGGTCGAGTGCAAACCAAACGCATCACGCCTCGTTGCACGCGCCCTGGCGTTGCTGACCAAAAGCGAGGATGCACTCAACAAAACTTCGTGCAGCAACACAACGCTCAGCTTGTTGTTCACTGTTTCCGGCAGATGGACCTCGGAGGACTGCACCGCGTCAACCTCCGTGACGGCAATGTCGCAGTGCTGCGGGAGGGCAAGTGCAAAAACAACAACAGAGGACCGCATCACCGTCTGGCTCACGCGGATCAGGACGCCCGCTGACTCGGCCGCCCCAGCACCCCCAAAAAACTGCAGCGCGGCACCCTCACGGAATGCGCACCCGGTGAGCGTGATGTTGATGAGGAGATGCAGCGGCATACTGTCAAAGGAAAACGTGAGCGCAGCACCCACGCCGCTGAATGTCACACCCACGTAGCAGTGGTGCGTCTTCCACATGTTCAGCGTGATTTCCCTCAGCGTCTGTTTCACCACACAGCTCGTGTCGCCGTCGACGGCTCTCTCCGCTACGGGCGGCACAACCGTGTCGGGCACCTCGAAGGGAAGACACGACGCGCCATGCCATCCGTCCTTGCAGCCGCACGAGCAAGAACCGCGGTCCACCGACTCCGTCCCGGGCATGTAGCACGCCGCGTCATCGTTGCATGTACCGCACCTGAACACCACCACGTCCTCCGGAAACACACCGTCGTACGACACCTCATTACCTCCCTGCAGGTTGCACCCAACCACAAGCTTTGCGGGAGAAACCACAATCATGTTCGACTGATCCAGATCAGCAAAAGGATAAATATCGTCCACCTGACGGTTGTGTGCAAGCGCCACGGTAGTGCCGTCGCCCGACAGCTGAATGTTGTGCTGTTCATGTCCTATACTTAATACTGAGGCTGCGCTCACTTCGTTGCCCTCCACACGCCACTGCGCACCACCCTGGAGAGCCAAAGAGCCGGCCAAATACAACAGCGCAGAATCCAAAAACTCCGCGCTGCCAACAAGGGTGCAATCCGCCACTCGCAGCAGCCCCGCGGAGCTCACAGTGGTATCCTCATAAATATGAATGCCGCTCACTGCGCTCATCGTGTTGTTCTCCACGTCAAAGTAGCCGCCATTCTTCACATCAACAGCGTAAACGCAAACACATGATTCCATCCCGTCATCCTCCTCCGTTGTGCTCAGCATATTTCCCTTCACAATGATCCCGCCACCATCATCAACACCAATTGAGAAATAGAGTGCGTAACTAATTCCCTCAATGTGGCTGTCAAGCAGCAGCAGCGTCGAGTTCGCAGTGAAAAAAAAAACCGAAAAGGCAATGGCATGGCTCACCGTCGACAAGAGCGTACTGCCCACCACCAGTATCTGGGAACTCGCACCAAAATCACCCTCAAACTCCAATGCACCAGAATCCATCATCGAGGATGTCACGTTCACGTGCACGCGCGCACCACTCCCCCTGATCAACAGGCCCATGAGGACGCACTGCAGCAGCGTGATGTTGAGTGTCTGTTGTGGCGCGTTGAATGTCCACAGGTCCAACTCGATATCAGCGATGAAGGTCACGTTGACAAAGCACAGACCACGCACACCGGGATCAGGATCGTCCACGGAGCTGGTGCTGCCACCGTGCACGCAGCGGACCTCCGTGTCCTTCACTTCGGGGAGCGGGAGCGGCCCAAGGCCGTCCGGAACCGCAGCCGGCAGACACGCACCACCGTGGCCGCCAGCAGCACACACACACTCACAGCCGCTGATGCTGCTCGTCCTCGCTGCAAAG